AGCCCTGCTGGGCCTCTGACCAGGAGCCATCCAAGGTAAGCCCGTGCCCCAACCCCCTGCCCCAGCCCTGAGTCCCTCCAAACCCAGAGCCCCCTCCTGTACCCCAAACATCTCATCCCCAGCCCCAGCCCAGAGCCCGCACCCCCAACCCAGAGCCCACTCCTCCCACATCCCAACCCCCTGCCTCAACCTGCGGTCCCCTCCCACATTCTGAGTCTCTCAGCCCCACCCTCCCAGCCTGGAGCCCTCTCCTGCACTCCAAACCCCTCATCCCAGCCCTACCCCAGAGCTTGCACCCCCAACCGGAGCCCTCACCCCCTCCCGCACTCCCACTTTCTGCCCCAGCCCTGTGAAAGTGAGTGAGGGTGGGGGAGAGCGAGCCACTGAGGGAGGGGGAATGTAGTGAGCAGGGGCAGAGCCTTGGGGCAGGGGCAGGGTAGTGGTAGAGCCCTGGGGAAGGGCCAGGGCTAGGGTGTTCAGTTTTGTACAATTAGAAAGTTGGCAACCCTAAGCTATACCTTCTCCCTACGCTTTCTCTGTGAACAAAACACAATCACTGTTTTCAACAGTCTTCTACAATAAACATTTCTATACTCTACGTATATAAACATAAGTATAAAAAAACCTGTGGCCTTGTTTTTCCACAACCCTGCTCTGTCGTCCATTCTGCTGTGCCAATACCGGCTCCTTTGCCATGGTTTCATTAAACTTAAATGTCACTTCTTTTTTTGCTTAACATGTTCTCCTTTCTCACTTGCACTCAGAATTTTATCTGTCTTATCTCAAGAAAAGACTAACCAGCTTTATCAAAGCATCTATATACTCTTTAGTTTATCCCAAAGCAGCAGTGGATTGAGTTCCACCTATTCCTTTGCAGAAGAATATCTTACAATGCTAATGGCAAAGCAACTTCTCAGTTTCCTAGGTTGATCAGTTGGAGGATGTATAAGTCAACTCTCATTTAGTCTCTTCATCTCCTATTGCTAATTTTCCTGGATAAAATGAGTCATGGCCGAGACCAGCTTGGAAATTGGTGTCAATAAATGGAAGAGAAATAGGAAGCAACTGCCATGTTATATCAGCTTCTCCCCTTCAGTCCTCTGGGATATACTCTCAATAATTAGTCCGTAATCAGTTCATGTTCTTAATTAAATAGCAGCCAAGTCTCATGGGGAAAATTACTTTTTCTTGCTCTGGACAAATAAAAGATGGAGAGAAGTATCCATATAGACATGGTACCTCCTTTAATAGAAGTCACTGAAAGCTTTGGGAAAAATCAAGACTTTCAGGGTTTTTTTCCAGGTAGAATCCACTTTCCATTTTTTTAAAGTTCAATTTTTAAAAGTTCAGCACTTATCCACAAGAACTGCCAGTAGCTCTATTTAAAAAAAAAAAGGGACACAATTTTAAATACAATGATTTTTACTAGGGATAGAAAGGCAGAGCTTGTCACCAGATATGAGGCTCTAGCAGTGCAGGGAAGAAAGCACTAAAAACAACCTCTGAAGACAAAGTCAGTCATGTGGATATTTTATTATCTGTCCCAAGCAGTTTAGGAATAGCTGCCGTGTCTGCTCTATAAGTCAGTCAACATTATTAAAAACTGAGTTTCTACCCCTGGTCTTTAAACTGTATGGGATTAAAACTATAGATGGAATGCCATCCAAACAAAGGAATGCCAGTCTGCCAGTCTGAAGTGTATCACCAATTTATTAGGGAACTTTTGCCTCCATATAGTTACATGTTTTAGTCCTTATTTTCATCCAGCTCAAGTACTGGGATTTTGAGGAAAGAGCTCCAAAGCTAGAACATGTTGTTGTTTTGATATAAATAAGAACATATCACTCTTTTCCCCCCCAAATCATGACAATTGATCATCATAGAAGCTATATTAAAAAGATAAAACATTTTTGTTGCAAAATCTTTTAGTGGTTTTTCTCAGCAGAATTTTTCATGTTCAGTATTATGAAAGTGTCAGTAGATGTCTCTGTTGCTCTATTTTCACAAAGAGTGTTAAAAAAACAACAACAGTCCTTTAATATTTGTGGAACTGTCAGCAAAGAGGAGCCGATGCCTTTTTTCATTCTATTTTTTTCAAGTGAAAGTAACCAGATCACTATACTCCTTGTCACTTTTAGTGCACAACTCGTAAATCAGATCCTCTGTAAAAAAACAATTTGTAAAAGATCAAATATTTGAATTAGGACTATTTTTATTAATCTAATGATCATCACATGTTCTCTAGTGCTTTGATCACAGGATATGGCATCAGCAGTGCCTGCAATCTGATGCCATTTCTCACAGTAATTCTGTCTCTGAACATGAACAAGTCACATACCCATCTCTATTTCAGTTTCTATATAGTATAATATTTACCTACATCACAGGGTGTTGTGACGATAAATATTGATATTTTAAAATATTTCGAAGTTCAAGAATGTTATGTCAGTGCTTAGAATTATTATTCGTGTATACAGGTCCCATTATAATGAGTGGAACCACTTATTTTATTTTCCTGATAACTTTGTGTTAGTGTTTTACTGGAGGGGTATAGGGAAAACTGTTTTGAGAACTTGTCTATATGAAAGGTGCAGGATAGACAAATGATCCTCAATAGCACACTAATACTAAAGATGGTCACCCTTAGGAAATTAAAATACCAGACTCGACCCTCTTAACTTGTTCAACCTGCAAGAGGTTATCTAGTACTGAATAGGAAAGGGAAACATGATGAAATGGGAGAAAATCGAAAGATTCATTTAATAAAGAACCATAAGCCTGTAACAATGAGCTAAAGTGTAGCTTATTGCACTCTAGATTCTGCATTCATCATTGTCCTCCAATTTTGGGATTTGTTCACAAATCTTGGGTAGGTGTCTCCATGAACAAAATTATTTTTTATTAACTATTCTTTACATGCAAACATGAGTTTGATTTTTCTAATACTGTACTGCATTAAACAGGAATAGTCCATTGTAATTTCCAAATGCAAAGAAAGAGGAGAAGAGAGCCAGATGTTATCAAACAGCTTCCAAAGATTCCTATCTGTTTTTCTTATTTTTATATGGATGTGTTTCTGTGTATCTCTTGCCATGTAATTTTCTTTCCTTGCAGAAGATATTGTACTGATACAAATAAAATGTCTAGTCCAAATTCTGCCCTACCATATAGATTGTGCAGCTCTACTGAAGTCAATACTTGTAAAAACTTATATGATCGAGCATACAATTTTCAAAAGTGTTTTGAAAACACATTTTCAGAACACATTGTCAGTGAGGAGAACCATAACAACACAAATGAAATAAAGTGAAAACAACACATACCCCTTACTTTGACATCTATGCTCTAACTTGAAGTACCACAGCTAGTGGGTACATCTACACTGCAGTTATACACCTATGGCTGGCCCATGCCAGCTGACTCAGGCTGAGTCTATGGGGTTGTAAAATTGCAGTGTAGATGTTTAGGCTGGAACCTGGGCTTTGGAACTCTGCAAGTGAGGAGGGTTCCAGAGCCCAGGCTCCAGCCTGAGCTTGACCATCTATACTGCAATTTTACAACCCAGCAGCCTGAGTCAGCTGACATGGGAATTTTCAAATATCAAGGCTTAAGTCCAAGATTTGCAGGGGTGGTGTCAAAGTATTAGCTGACTTGTCCTTCTGCCTCCGCTCCAGTTTTTCCCTTTTCCATTTTTACCAGCTTTTTAATGTTTTTTTAAAGACGTTAAATAATTCTGAAACCAGCCTATGATCCCAGAGTAGGTTTCCGATAGGGGCAGTACTACAGGCAGGTGAGCAGATGGCTGAGGCAGCATAGGTGAGGCCAGCAGAAAGTTTGAATTTTGTACCGTCCACTGAATCTCGCGGGTCATGTAGGAAAATAGTGGGCAGGACCACTGGGTGTAGGGGTGTGTGTGGTGGGGTGTCCTCTCTTCTCTCTTCTTCCCTTATTGCCTTCCCATATTTCTATTCCTCCTCTTTCACTCTTTACCACTCAACCTTCAAAACCTGCCCTCTCCAACACACCATCACCATCTCTCAGCACATACCTCTTTGCACAGGCTAGTGGAAGAGAGTGGCATCTTCTTGTGGGTGTGTGAGTGTTCTCCACAGAGCTATGGTTTCTCCTCCTCTGCTAGCAGTCTGAGTGAAGGATTCTTTTTCTTCCTCTCTTCTGACTGTTTAGGCCTGAGAGGGGTCTCAAGAAGTGTAGTTTAGCATTTTAGGCTTCTGTCGTGCTGAACTTGGGCCAACTTTTCCAATTCCTTCCTCTGTCCACTCTAAGCGCAGGTCCCACCCCTACAAGGGCTCACAAAAAAAGGGTGACACAGGGGCCTGTTCCGGGGGGGGGGAGGGAATGAAGTGCCTGAAGCTGCAGCATAAATTTACAAACAGCAGTTTAAACATATTCCCAGAAAACTATGCAGACTCAGGACTTGGGGCAATATTACACCTTCACCTTCCTTTCCTTGCATATACCTTCTCTCCTCCCGGTTATGGCCCCGGTCCTGAAATACTTGGCCACTTTGCTCGGGAAAAGATAGAAGGGCACCCAAAACACCCATAAGGTAGCCTGAAACTCCTTGTTTTCCCCACAATATATGGGTCTGGCTTGTGTTACTCAAATATATCATTTGAAAGAATAGTGCTATAGTGCTTGGTAATGCTATTGAATTCAAAGGGAGTTTTCCCTTGGAGTGGATTGAAGATGAAATCTTCATAGAGTTATTGTCCTTGCCATTATGTATCACTTCCATCGCTTGAGAAGAGGGGGAAAAGTCAAACAATCGGAGGGGAGAACAGCAAAAGAGTCAGAAGAAGAAAAAATCACTTAATCCCCCTTTTATGCTCCACTATACCCTGAATTCATTGAAATATCTGCTTTTATTTTAATGAAATATGGCTTAGCCCTGGTCTACACTAGGACTTTAGGTCAAATTTAGCAGCGTTAAATCGATGTAAACCTGCACCCGTCCACACAATGAAGTCCTTTATTTCGACTTAAAGGGCTCTTAAAATCGATTTCCTTACTCCACCCCTGACAAGTGGATTAGCGCTTAAATCAACGTTGCCGGCTCGAATTTGGGGTACTGTGGACACAATTCGATGGTATTGGCCTCCGGGAGCTATCCCAGAGTGCTCCATTATGACTGCTCTGCACAGCACTCTCAACTCAGATGCACTGGCCAGGTAGACAGGAAAAGAACCGCGAACTTTTGAATCTCATTTCCTGTTTGGCCAGCGTGGCAAGCTGCAGGTGACCATGCAGAGCTCATCAGCACAGGTGACCATGATGGAGTCCCAGAATCGCAAAAGAGCTCCAGCATGGACCGAATGGGAGGTACGGGATCTGATCGCTGTTTGGGGAGAGGAATCCGTGCTATCAGAACTCCGTTCCAGTTTTCGAAATGCCAAAACCTTTGTGAAAATCTCCCAGGGCATGAAGGACAGAGGCCATAACAGGGACCCGAAGCAGTGCCACGTGAAACTGAAGGAGCTGAGGCAAGCCTACCAGAAAACCAGAGAGGCGAACAGCCGCTCTGGGTCAGAGCCCCAAACATGCCGCTTCTATGATGAGCTGCATGCCATTTTAGGGGGTTCAGCCACCACTACCCCCGCCGTGTTGTTTGACTCCTTCAATGGAGATGGAGGCAATACGGAAGCAGGTTTTGGGGACGAAGAAGATGATGATGAGGAGGAGGTTGTAGATAGCTCACAGCAAGCAAGTGGAGAAACCGGTTTTCCCGACAGCCAGGAACTGTTTCTCACCCTAGACCTGGAGCCAGTACCCCCCGAACCCACCCAAGGCTGCCTCCTGGACCCAGCAGGCAGAGAAGGGACCTCTGGTGAGTGTACCTTTTAAAATACTATACATGGTTTAAAAGCAAGCATGTGAAAGGATTACTTTGCCCTGGCATTTGCGGTTCTCCTAGATGTAGTCCTAAAGCCTTTGCAAAAGGTTTCTGGGGAGGGCAGCCTTATTGCGTCCTTCATGGTAGGACACTTTACCACTCCAGGCTAGTAACACGTACTCGGGAATCATTGTAGAACAAAGCATTGCAGTGTATGTTTGCTGGCATTCAAACAACATCCGTTCTTTATCTCTCTGTGTTATCCTCAGGAGAGTGAGATATAATTCATGGTCACCTGGTTGAAATAGAGTGCTTTTCTTCAGGGGACACTCAGAGGAGCCCATTCCTGCTGGGCTGTTTGCCTGTGGCTAAACAGAAATGTTCCCCGCTGTTAGCCACAGGGAGGGGGGAAGGTTGAGGGGGTAGTCACGCGGTGGGAGGAGGCAAAATGCGACCTTGTAACGAAAGCACATGTGCTATGTATGTAATGTTAACAGCAAGGTTTACCCTGAAAGAGTGTAGCCACTGTTTTATAAAATGTGTCTTTTTAAATACTGCTGTCCCTTTTTTTTTCTCCACCAGCTGCATGTGTTTCAATGATCACAGGATCTTCTCCTTCCCAGAGGCTAGTGAAGCTTAGAAAGAAAAAAAAAACGCACTCGCGATGAAATGTTCTCCGAGCTCATGCTGTCCTCCCACACTGACAGAGCACAGACGAATGCGTGGAGGCAAATAATGTCAGAGTGCAGGAAAGCACAAAATGACCGGGAGGAGAGGTGGCGGGCTGAAGAGAGTAAGTGGCGGGCTGAAGAGAGTAAGTGGCGGGCTGAAGACAGGGCTGAAGCTCAAATGTGGCGGCAGCGTGATGAGAGGAGGCAGGATTCAATGCTGAGGCTGCTGGAGGACCAAACCAGTATGCTCCAGTGTATGGTTGAGCTGCAGCAAAGGCAGCTGGAGCACAGACTGCCACTACAGCCCCTGTGTAACCAACCGCCCTCCTCACCAAGCCTCCACACCCAGATGCCCAAGAACGCGGTGGGGGGGCCTCCAGCCAACCAGCCACTCCACCACAGAGGATTGCCCAAAAAAAAGAAGGCTGTCATTCAATAAATTTTAAAGTTGTAAACTTTTAAAGTGCTGTGCTTAAAGTGCTGTGTGGCATTTTCCTTCCCTCCTCCACCACCCCTCCTGGGCTACCTTGGTAGTCATCCCCCTATTTGTGTGATGAATGAATAAAGAATGCATGAATGTGAAGCAACAATGACTTTATTGCCTCTGCAAGCAGTGATTGAAGGGAGGAGGGGCGGGTGGTTAGCTTACAGGGAAGTAGAGTGAACCAAGGGGCGGGGGGTTTCATCAAGGAGAAACAAACAGAACTTTCGCACCGTAGCCTGGCCAGTCATGAAACTGGTTTTCAAAGCTTCTCTGATGCGTACCGCGCCCTCCTGTGCTCTTCTAACCGCCCTGGTGTCTGGCTGCGCGTAACCAGCAGCCAGGCGATTTGCCTCAACCTCCCACCCCGCCATAAACGTCTCCCCCTTACTCTCACAGATATTGTGGAGCACACAGCAAGCAGTAATAACAGTGGGAATATTGGTTTCGCTGAGGTCTAAGCGAGTCAGTAAACTGCGCCAGCGCGCCTTTAAATGTCCAAATGCACATTCTACCACCATTCTGCACTTGCTCAGCCTGTAGTTGAACAGCTCCTGACTACTGTCCAGGCTGCCTGTGTACGGCTTCATGAGCCATGGCATTAAGGGGTAGGCTGGGTCCCCAAGGATACATATAGGCATTTCAACATCCCCAACAGTTATTTTCTGGTCTGGGAATAAAGTCCCTTCCTGCAGCTTTTGAAACAGACCAGAGTTCCTGAAGATGCGAGCATCATGCACCTTTCCCGGCCATCCCACGTTGATGTTGGTGAAACGTCCCTTGTGATCCACCAGAGCTTGCAGCACTATCGAAAAGTACCCCTTGCGGTTTATGTACTCGGCGGCTTGGTGCTCCGGTGCCAAGATAGGGATATGGTTCCGTCTATAGCCCCACCACAGTTAGGGAATCCCATTGCAGCAAAGCCATCCACTATGACCTGCACATTTCCCAGGGTCACTACCCTTGATATCAGCAGATCTTTGATTGCGTGGGCTACTTGCATCACAGCAGCCCCCACAGTAGATTTGCCCACTCCAAATTGATTCCCAACTGACCGGTAGCTGTCTGGCGTTGCAAGCTTCCACAGGGCTATCGCCACTTGCTTCTCAACTGTGAGGGCTGCTCTCATCTTGGTATTCATGCGCCTCAGGGCAGGGGAAAGCAAGTCACAAAGTTCCATGAAAGTGCCCTTACGCATGCGAAAGTTTCACAGCCACTGGGAATCGTCCCAGACCTGCAACACTATGCGGTCCCACCAGTCTGTGCTTGTTTCCCGAGCCCAGAATCGGCGTTCCACAGCATGAACCTGCCCCATTAGCACCATGATGCATGCATTGGCAGGGCCCATGCTTTCAGAGAAATCTGTGTCCATGTCCTGATCACTCACGTGACCGCGCTGACGTCGCCTCCTCGCCCGGTATCACTTTGCCAGGTTCTGGTGCTGCATATACTGCTGGATAATGCGTGTGGTGTTTAATGTGCTCCTAATTGCCAAAGTGAGCTGAGCGGCCTCCATGCTTGCCTTGGTATGGCGTCCGCACAGAAAAAAGGCGCGGAACGATTGTCTGCCGTTGCTCTGACGGAGGGAGGGGCGACTGACGACACGGCTTACAGGGTTGGCTTCAGGGAGCTAAAATCAACAAAGGGGGTGCCTGTACATCAAGGAGTATTTCAGGCAGGACTTCACGGAGGGTTCCAATAAGAAATGGTGCACCTAAGTTATCGTTCTTATTGGAACAAGGAGGTTAGCCTGGCCTCTGATTGATACATGGCTAGATTTACCTCGCTGCACCTTCTCTGTGAGTGACTGCAGTGTGACCTAGAGGAATGAGTCCCCTAGACAGGGGAGGAGGCAAATGAGTACAAAACAAATCTGGTCTATTTCTTGTTTTGCCCACTCCATCTATCTTTTACATCTTTGGCTGGCAGCAGACGGTGCAGAAGGACTGCATGCCATCCACATCTCATGGCTGCTCGGCAGAAGATGGTACAGTACGACTGCTAGCCATCCCCATCTCTTGCCTGCCTGGCAGAAGATGGTACAATACGACTGCTAGCAATCCTCATCTCTTGCCTGCCTGGCAGAAGATGGTACAGTACGACTGCTAGCAGTCCGTATCGCCTGCCCGCTCACCATAAGATGGTTCAATAGGACTGACTGCAGGACTAAAGAGAATGACCTGGTCAAGTCACTCCAAATTTAGTCCCTGCGCCCATGTCTGCCCAGGCGCTCCCAGCCGACGTGGCCAGGAGCACCTCGGACACGACGAGGACGACTACCAATCGTATTGCACCGTCTGCTGCCAGAAGGCAATGGGTTGCTGCTACTGTGCAGCAAAGCCGTACCGCGTCTGCCAGCACCCAGGAGACATAGGGTGACGGTTACCTGAGCGGGCTCCATGCTTGCCGTGGTATGGCGTCTGCACAGGTAACTCAGGAAAAAAGGCGCGAAATGATTGTCTGCCCTTGCTTTCACGGAGGGAGGGAGGGAACGGGGGCCTGACGATACGTACCCAGAACCACCCGCGACAATGTTTTAGCCCCATCAGAGTGCTCCATTGTGACTGCTCTGGACAGCACTCTCAGATGCCCGATTGTTTGCCGTTGCTCTGATGCCGGGAGGGGCGCTTACAGGGTTGGCTTCAGGGAGCTAAAATCAACAAAGGGGGTGGCTTTACATCAAGGAGTATTTCAGGCAGGACTTCACGGAGCGTTTCAATAAGAAATGGTGCACCTAACTTATTGTTCTTATTGGAACAAGGAGGTTAGCCTGGCCTCTGATTGATACATGGCTAGATTTACCTCGCTGCACCTTCTCTGTGAGTGACTGCAGTGTGATCTAGAAGAATGAGTCCCCTAGACAGGGGAGGGGGGGAAGCAAACGAGTACAAAACACATCTGGTCTATTTCTTGTTTTGATCCACTCCATCTATCTTTTACATCTTTGGCTGGCAGCAGACGGTGCAGAAGGACTGCATGCCATCCACATCTCATGGCTGCTCGGCAGAAGATGGTACAGTACGACTGCTAGCAGTCCGTATCGCCTGCCCGCTCACCATAAGACGGTTCAATAGGACTGACTGCAGGCAGGACTAAAGAGAATGACCTGGTCAAGTCACTCCAAATTTAGTCCCTGCACCCATGTCTGCCCAGACGCTCCCAGCCGACGTGGCCAGGAGCACCTCGGACATGACGATGACGGCTACCAGTCGTACTGTACCGTCTGCTGCCACAAGGCAAGGGGTTGCTGCTACTGTGTAGCAATGCCGTACCGCGTCTGCCAGCACCCAGGAGACATAGGGTGACGGTTACCTGAGCGGGCTCCATGCTTGCCGTGGTATGGCGTCTGCACAGGTAACTCAGGAAAAAAGGCGCGAAATGATTGTCTGCCCTTGCTTTCACGGAGGGAGGGAGGGAACGGGGGCCTGACGATATGTACCCAGAACCACCCGCGACAATGTTTTAGCCCCATCAGGCATTGGGATCTCAACCCAGAATTCCAATGGGCAGCGGAGACTGCGGGAACTGTGGGATAGCTACCCACAGTGCAACGCTCCGGAAGTCGACTCTAGCCTCGGTACTGTGGAAGCGCTCCGCCGAGTTAATGCACTTAATGCACTTAGAGCATTTTCTGTGGGGACACACACACTCGAATTTATAAAACCGATTTCTAAAAAACCGACTTCTATAAATTCGACCTTATTCCGTAGGGTAGACATACCCCTATTCTTTCTCTTTTGTTCATGAATCCATTTAACAGGTTCCTCTTTTTTCCCCAAAAATGTTTTTATTTTAGAACTAAAATGTAGGCAGAAGGCATTGGGGGAAGGGGCACAGAAAAGAATATACACATTGAAGAAAAAAATCTATGTACTGACTTACCACTAAATTCAAGAAAATGCTTAGAGGAACTACAAGTGGAGTACTTTTTTTTAAAGCCAAAATAAGATTCATGGCCAATTAATCACACATTTCTAGGAACAAGAACTGTGTCACATTAAAGTTTACTCCCCTTTTGAATTCAGAATACCATTATCAAGGAACAGGATAGTCTAGTGCCATTTCTCCCCAAAGTGTCAAGTGCTCTGAGCTCACGGTTAGAAAGACGGCTCCCTTGCGTTTAGAGCTATCAATTTATCCTTTGGTATAGAGTTATGTTCTTTAGCTACAGTGAGCAGAGCTGGGATTTAATTCTGACCTACTGTGTGGTCAACGCATACAGAACATACTGTCGTGTTGACAGAATTTGCTATTTTTATGCACAATGTTTACAATGAAGAATATTGTTGGTAACAAATAACGATCTAATTTTAAAATTAGGAATATTTTCCCTAGCTATTCAGGACCAAATTTCTGTTCTCTGCTGCACTTATGCAACCTCCCTAATATTAATAGGATTTAAATCATTTGCTTGTATGGAACTCAGATGCCACGGTGACAAACCTAATATAAATACCTAACGAGGTATACGACTCCATGGGAAGAACTCAGTGCAAAACAGAGCCTATGATCTCAGTTACTGCATTCCCCCACCCAATTTAACTATAAGTATTCCTTTCCTTTTTGTGCACACAAAAAACAGTCTGGGAACTTTTCAAATACAATTCCTTTGTGATAATCCACTTCACAGTATGAAACATATTGCTGGTAGAATTATATGCAATAATCTTATTTTCACTGTGAAAGGAAATATAATATGGTCACGAAGCAGCTGAACAGTCCTTATGAGTCCTTTTTGGCATTCCAAATAAAGCCGCAGGCAGAAATTCTTTTCTTCTCAGCTT